ATCAATATATTTAATCCAAATCAATTGATTTGCAAGGTCAAATCTCTCTGCATCTTTTCTCTTGTTGAATCTGAAGCTGTGAACTGGTTGCCCCCACCCAAAAACAAAACATAAAGTGCAGTGGAGAGCGTCATCCCTTCCTCGCCCTCTATGTGTCTGCCCCACCCCTCTCATCCCTGCTTCAGCCACCTCCCGCCCACCTGACTTCCCCTCGTCCAATCAGAGCAGGGCTACCGTATGCACGAGCAAGCACTGCCTCCCCAGCGCAAACCGCAGTCACTTCTTTCTCCTCACTCTATCTCCATCTCAACAGTCTCTCCCTCTCTCTCTCTCTCTCTCTTTCTCAAAACATACCTCCTCTGTTCATTTATTTCACTCTCGCCCTCTCTCCTCCTCTGTCTCCCCTCCCTCTTGGATCTCTGCCTAGCTACTGCTCTCCCTGTCCGTTCCCCTCCATCCCTCCTTCAGCCACTCTGTGTCTCTCTCGTGGATCCTCCCATCTCCTCCTGTCTCCTCTCTGAAGCTGTCACTGTCTCGTGTGTGGAAACATGTCAACCGTTCTGGATGTGGAGCAGAATGCATGCACTGGAAATGCAGTGGTGAGTGTGTGTGTGTGTGTGTGTGTGTGTGTGTAAGAGAGACCTCTACAACTGACAGCCGAGGCTGATTCCTTACTCCTGATTCCTACTATTTTAGCCCTGGTATCCTCCAATGCTCTAGCAGAAATGTTTGTATGTGCATGCATGTCGTGGTTGACGTGTGAGCAAGTATATGTGATTCTTTCCAGTGAGGAATGTGTGTTTTCTTGCATTAGTCATGCGAGTCATGCGCCTCTCTGCTTGTTTACCTTACCACAGATTAAACCAGTCAGAGACTAAACTGTTAGTTTTAAAGATCTTCATTTTAGGAGCTTCAAATGTACATGATTTACACTAAAATCATATGTTGGTGCAGTCTAGGGATTGTCAAGTAAATAAGGATTTTGTGGATTAAAATATGGCACACGTCCATATGATCATCAAACGGTCTAATAGGTCAAGCAAATCAAGGGCATTTGATATGGAGCACTTAAATGCGCTAGCATTACTGGCAGGGTGTGGTTGAGTATATACTGTGTGTGTTTCTAGGAATGCATATGGATGGTGTGTACTAAGATCTGTGATGTGATCTGTGTGTGTGTGTGTGTGTAATAGTTATTTTGTCAAGTTTGTGCTGTGTAATGGCTCCCAGGCTTGTGGTCTGTGATTGATGCTATTAGCTGGAGGAGCGGGGGTGGGGGGCAAAGACTGGGAGTGTTTTGCTTGTATTCATTCATATACCTTGGCTTAGCCTCTGTTTCCCTAGAGAGAGCTGCTTTAATTGTCCTTTTGCCATGTTTAAATGTTTGCATGCAAGGACGACGTACATATTCAGGATATAAGGGCGCTACATAAAAATGATTTAAGTCGACCATTAAAAAAAGTGAGTCCAATAGTAATTTGATTATTTTGTAAATCTGTCCACTTCAGCCTGTTGTTGTTATGGCACTGTTTGAATGTAAGAAACATCTCCCGACTTAGAATTTGTGTTTTGGATGCTCCCACCAGGCTTCTTGACTAGCTAAACCAGCAACATACTTGAATTTCTCCAGAAAGAATAGGCTGGTCGATCAGCGTTTCTTTATTGTGAACAGCAGGTTGCAGGCGTTGCAGTGCTCCCTAGTCGATCCTGATTTTTTTCCTTTTGAAGAGCACAGAGAGGAAGATGACGTGCAAGCATTTGATATCAGATCATATTTATGGTTTTTAATGAATGTATTGCAGAGTTTAGATCACCTTCTACAGCTTATTGTAGACCTAGTCAGGAATCATGATGACCCATCACTATTTGTCCCACTGCATTAGTTTTCTTTTTTTCAGGCTAATTCCTATTCTGCCCCTCTTTCCAGACTCTCCCACACTCTCTAGACCCACATGCAGAGTTTAAATGCGTGTATGTGTGTGTCTGAAAGATTGAGAGTGTGTTTGGCAGAGCGAACAGGAGAGACTTTTTTAAATGTTGCATTTCAGACTCTCCCACTCTCTGGCCTTGGTCACTCATGTCCCTGAGAGCTAAAAAACATTCGGACACGTTCCAATGCAACCAAATTTAAAGCCAAGCACCAGACATTTGTTCAATCAGCATGCCTAGCTGCAAAAGCGCTACTCATTTATATACCAATTTTTTATCTCACCCTGGGCTGCACAGAGATGCAAGTATTACCCTATAAAATGATTTAATGAGCACAGTTTTTTTTCCATATTGGCATATTTGCTATTGAAACTAAACTTGAATAATAGCAGGTTGGTTTTAGTTATATCTCAGCCATGAATCATGATTTGCTGCCTGCTAGTTGGCTGAAGGTGGTATTAGGGGGCGGGACATTCTCTAAAGACCATTTGATTGTACAAAATCTGTGTAGTGCAGGATGTCATCAATATTTTTGGCTTGTTTTCCTATAAGAAGGACTGTACATATTGCTTATATCTGCATAAATCTACGTTTTGTCAGTGTTTTAAACAAACCGCAGTAGTGAGTGACCAATCTTTTCTTCGGTATTGTAAAGTACATCCGAGTGAAATGGGTTATCGGAAAAGATAAAAAATGTAGAGCATGGACTTGATTTTTATCTGTCGGTCATTGATCGGCTTGAGGCAGATCTGAATGTGAGCTTGTAGTCGATTGCAAGAATGTTTATTATTTATTATTTATATATATATATTAGCAGAGAGAAGTCGGTCGTTTCACTGGAAGATCCAGTTATGATATTAATTTAAAAGTTACAAGATCAGTTTTATTAATCATTCACAATAGAATATTGGTGAATTTCCATTTAATGCCAACTTCAACATTTAGTCATTTAGCAGACGCTTTTATCCAAAGCGACTTACAACTGACATATAAGATGGCCCCAAAGTTAGAAAGTTATTAGCAAATACAATAGCCAGTAACAATATTGTGACTCTTATTCACACAAAGAGCTTCAGTGTAGAAGCTATTTTTTTCCCTTACCTCAGGACTCCTGTGTCCCTCTGCTGTGACTCATTCTATAATTGATGGAGAGGAAGCTGTGATGCGCAGAACTCTCTCTCTATATATGCACACACACACACACACACACACACACGTCACTCACACACACACACACACACACACTTATAGTCCAACCTTGTTAAATCAGTATATACATCACTGAACATGAAATTATGAAACTCTATCCAGGACCTTAGTTTGTCCTCCCTCAATACAAGGCCCAGGACAACATTCCCAGTTTTCCCTCTTGACTACAGCCCTATCCTTCTGGTGATATATAGATTGAATACAACACTAAAACAATTCTAATTTTATGTCAGCAGATATTGATCTGAAACTTTCTGTCCTATCATTATTCTCTTTATTAGTACTTCTCCCGAGGAATCTTTCTGCTCATATGATGGCTCCATCTTGGTTTATACCAGTTGGGTTTGAAGGGTCATATGGTTAAGGACATCACAGTCTGGTCCTCACTGCTCCATATGGTTAGGACAGTCTGGATAGACTGACATGTAAACCGATCAGTTGGTTAGCTTTGTATTTGCATTAGGGTTAGATGAAATAGACTCTTTGAGATAATAGACCGACTTGCTGTAAAAATAGCAGAAAATGTGTAGACTTTGTAATGAGAATTTATATGAATACAAATTGTGATGTACAATTTCTAGTTGGCTTGCTACTAAAAAATCTCAGGAGCTGCATAGAGCAGCCATTTAGATTGTAACTGGTGATTTCAGCCGATTTTGCTTTCCAGTTTTATGTGCAATATGAATCTGACAGTTCTGTGAATGTTAAGACTCAAAGCTTTACTCTGTTTGAAAGCACCCTCTCTGTTTCTCATGAGGGCTGCAGTGCGTTACAATTCTGCTAAGTCATACTCTCAGGATGATGGTTTTGTTCTGCAGCCGCTCCCAGTGATGGCTCGGAAGCATCCGGACAGCGTCCACATTGATAGTTTTGATTTTTACCAGGGAAAGTCTTTCTGTTTAGAGGTTATCTTATCATATAGACTAAAGTTTGGTGTTGGTAAGATTTTTTTTTTTTTTATGTTTTTGAAAGCCTCATTCACGCATAATTTAAGTCAAAAATGCAGTAAAACAGTAATATTGTGAAATATTATTACAATTTAAAATAACTGTTTTCTGTTTTTATATATTTTAAAATGTAATTTATGAAATACATGATCTCATTATGATGGTAACATTATACCGTCTTTAATGAATCCTTGATTATATTCTTTGAGTAGAAATTTATTTTAAAAAATCTTATTGAGCCCAAACTTTTGAACGTTAGTGTAGTTTGTGTGTATGTTTGCTCTTGTATTGAGGATAGGTAACTACTATATTGCAGCACTAATTGGGCTCTTGGAAGGATGCTTTATAGATTTTGGCTTTCTTCCTAAACCGATTTGGATGATGATGACTGGAGTGAAATTAAAGTACAAGAAATTCACGGTTCATCCTTTCAACATTTATGTATATTTATTTTTATTAAAACATTAGATCTCTGGATTTAGATCACTTACATAATCTTGTCAATGAAAATGAACCACTGGATAAATTCATATGATAATTTTTCACTAATCTTCTTGAATTCCCAGGGATTCTTTAAATTAACCATAAGCCTACATCAGTGTATAATGCAATGAAAAACATTTCTAATCCCAAGCATTTCTAAGGCACACACCCATAATGCAACAGTACTGATGTGCAGTTTTCTGTGCAGCTGCTTGGCCTTTACCTCTAGATCTTTCTATTGATCCTGCAGCCATCTGTCTGAGCCTCTCATGGGAGATATCACTTACTACACAAATACATTCTTCCTGAAAGCAGCAGCACCAACATTCACTCACTTAGTAGCAAAGTAAACCCTTAAGCATTTCCTGGCAGCCTGACGAAGTTTTTGAGGAGAGATTTTATTGCCTGGATTTGACTTGTTGTTTGTTCCAGGAGCATGACATTGAGACGCCCCATGGTGTGCTCCATGTGACCATGAGAGGCAGCCCTAAAGGCAACCGCCCAGTCATTCTCACCTACCATGACATCGGCCTCAACCGTATGTAAAAAAAAAAAAAAAAAATGACAGACAAATTGTATACTTGTCGGAAATCTGAGTATGATGATGACATTGGTGTTTTGGTTGGTTTTCAGACAAGTCCTGCTTCAACACCCTGTTTAACTTTGAGGACATGATGGAGATCACTCAGCACTTTGCCGTCGTGCACGTGGACGCCCCTGGCCAGCAGGAGGCAGCACCCCCCTTTCCCACAGGGTGAGTGGCTCGTCCCGACAGCCAATGAGGCAATACTGCCATTATTTACATGGTCAAAATCTTGTGGTTACAAAGCCCTGCATCTTGAAAAACAATTTCTGCTGATTTGCAAGAATTTCGAAGTATTCAAAATGTATGTTAACTTACAATCTGCAAATAATTGGAAAAATATTTTGTCAAATATTAATGTCAATTTTTTGACATAAACACAAGTAAAGAAGTTTACATAAAGAACACTGTTTTCACAAAATATGTTGTTTGAATGTAGTAAAACACTCACAGATGTAGCAGAAAACATCTGGCTCATGTTTGCATTTTCTTCTGTCATTGGCCATAATTCATGATTAGGCATAAAATCATATCTGTGAAAATCAGCTGAGAATTGAACAAAGAGTTCTAACCTGGCCACCTGTCTATGTGGCAACATTTCTGGTGATGATAAGGGATAGTATGAGACGTCTTCACCTTACAAATGGTTGTTGAAAGCAAAAATGCTATGAAATGCACATCATATTTTGTGAGAAACTGTGGCGTGCAAACAGACACTATTTTTGGAATCAGCACCCCAAAGTTAGTAAGTACAAGTAACGAGTATTGGATTTCATTCAGCAAATATGATGCAGAGTGGTTTTATTTATTAGTTCTATTCCCTTGGTTAAAATTGGTTGGTTATATTCCCATTGATTATATAATTGTCATTTTCTGTCTTTGTTGCTCTTCAGGTACCAGTACCCTACCATGGATGAGCTGGCAGAGATGTTATCCTCAGTCCTGACTCAGCTGAAGTGAGTAACAAAGTCCAGCTGGTCCATTAGTAATGAATTACCGGTACTCTCTACCACATCAATCAGAGAGGTCCGCCTGTGAAGACAGACAGAACAGGACATCACTCCATCTGTAGGACTGTTTGAGTGAATTACAATATTTCTGTGTAGGGAGCACTGACGAAACACTGCAGATGTTGAAAATGACACAGGATGTGTATGTATCCGTTTGCAGGGTGAACAGCGTGATTGGCATTGGTGTCGGAGCAGGTGCATACATCTTAAGCCGTTTTGCTGTGAGTTCTCTGACATTTTTCTGCTTTTCATTTCACTTTCATTTTATTGTCTTAAAACATTGTCTGTGCCTTTCTCTCTGTCTAGCTCATTCTTTCTTTCTTTATAACGGTATTGAATCCCCTAAATTAGCATTCTGTTTGCGTACGGAATACTGAATTGCCTACCAAACCCCTCGGTGTAACCACAGCAACATTTTTGTGTCTCTCTGCTGTAAACAAGGAACATGGATGCCAACAGTTTAACCCGTTTGCCGTTATCTGTTTTTATCTAAAAGAAATAATAGCAACTGGAGATGTATTAGTGATTGTCGATTTTAAACTATTTTAAACTCTCTGTGGATCGTAATGTGGCTGTAAAATACAATTTGCAAGTTAAGTACCCCTGCATGAATCAAGAAGATTTTTGTTTTTTCTGTCTCATGTCAAGTTCAAATTTTACTTTCCCTGCAACATTTTGACTGGCCCGTTATAAATATTTTTCATTGGAAGTATAAAACAAATCTATTTTAAAAAAAAAAGAAAGAAAATAAATGTTTTCTTTAAAACAACTATTTACAACAAATAATTAATTTGTTTTTTATATATATAATTAATTAAATAAATAATACATTTACAAAAATAACTTCTACATCATATACCACTTTAAACTTCATAAACACTAGATTTTGTAAATGTGTTATATGCTTTGTCATTATTATTAGTTTTTTAATATTTCTATATAATTTTATCCTTTTAGTTTGAATAATTTTAGTTCTTCAACTTGAATTTAGTTTTATTTCAATGATCAATCTTTAAGTTTAAGTTTTTCATATTTTCAACTAATAATAGTTTTAGTTAAAGGTACAATATGTAGGAATTTTTCGCCACAAGAGGGCGCAGTTACCAACAATAACAAAGGCGAAGCTTGGTGACGCTATGAGGGAGAGTTGAACGATGTCGTTTTCACCATCCAGAGATGTTATGGAATTAATGAATCATGATCACGGATGAGGTACTTTATTTGTTTTTGTATTACCTGTACGTCTGATCGCAATATTTTATGTCACCATAATTAATTAACTACAAGGAACGTGAAATGTTATGCTATATTATCCTGTTACAGCTATTTGTCAAAAGATTTGTTGGGTTAATGCTGCGCAGTTTTACATGTTTATCGTTAATGCCGTGTTGTTTTACGTGTTCAAACCAATCGTACTCAAAGTAAATTTGAACGAACATTTGCAAGTAATAGCTAAATATTATTTAACAACACATGTCTGATTGTATTTAATTGCACTGCCATAATCTCGGTCAAAACACAAGTGATAAAAAGCATTACCAAAGTACAAAGCGCAATATAACTGTGAATTTTCATCAGCAAAACGATCACTTGATAGTTTTTGAGGTGAATCAACATATGCATAATGATTGATCTGTCACGTCATATAGGCCTATGTATCTTGCATTGTTTATAAGTGATATTATTGAAAGTTGCATGTGTTGCAAGGAAACACAGATACATCCTTTTGTTTTATGTACATTTGCTCACCTGTCTAATAAAGTATATGCAAGAGCGGTGTTGCTCCTCCAAGTTAGTCGGGGACGTGGAGCTCTCGGCATCTCGAAAACGCCACGCCGATATTGATCCTCATTTTAGTTCTCCTTTTTTTGTCCCAAAGTCTGCTTGCCATGGTCCATAATGATTGAATGAAACAACAACAGCGTGCAGCTAAACGTTACGCACTATGAAGTTGTCCGCGTCTGTCGCCATGGTTACGTCATGGCTATGGCAGTACGAGCGGAAACCGAGGACGCTTTTCACTTTTCCGGGACGGCCACTTATTTAAAATTGGAATTTCTCTGAAATAAAAAATCTTTGGAGGCTTTTGGGATATTGTAAGTACACAACTGCAGGAAACATATCACACTGTGCAAGTGATTTTTGGATATTTTATTACAAAATTCCTACATATTGTACCTTTAACAATAAAACACTGAAATGATGCTGCATATTAAACTGCGGTGTGAACATGCCCTATATCAAACAGCTATATATCACATATTTTTATATCATCCCCACCTGCCCTTTTAGTGCCGCAAAAGCTGCATTGCCCCCAGAGGCTCTGAATGCAGGACTGTTATGATACTGCCTGCACTGCAGCCGCAAGCATCTGAGGCTATTGATCAAAGTCTAAATATCTCTGACACACTCACAAGCCTGATATATTCAGCATTTCTTTTATGCAAAACAACCCATAATACATCCCTTCCCCTCCCTCTTTTTTCACTCGCGCGTCGCTAAGTGCCCTGTGTTATTTTCCTGTGCTGTGCTCTCTCATCCTCTCTTCATGTGTGTGTGCATAGACTGGCACACTGAAAGATTAATGTCACTGACCGTCAGCAGCAGCAGAGGCTTCTGAAGGAAGATGCTTTGAGTTCAGCTGCTGAAAGCTCCTCCTCTGCCATGACTACATGCATTTTTAAGACCCTAATTCCCTAATTTCCTTTGCTCTGTCTGCAGCTGATTCAGCCGTCCCTGGTAGAGGGGCTGGTTTTGATCAATGTGGACCCCTGCGCTGAGGGCTGGATAGACTGGGCTGCTTCCAAGGTGAGTATACACTTTGATCAAACAGATGGCGATTATTTATATTATATATATGGCGATCAGCTGTCCTTCCTGTCTCCCTGTAGTCTTAGGTGTCTTACATTAGAAATGACAGTTTATTGCTCTATGCACATCTGCAGTCCTCGTGCTTCCCTGCAGCAGTGCATGTTCACACAGGTGATCAGGGACCCTGGATATCTTTCCCCTGGTGTTTTTCAGAATCAGTTGAAAGGTCTCTTTAGTGTTCTAAATTATTGGAATTATGACATTAATTTTCTTCCACCTGTAAACTGTCACCCCTGTTTTCACAGACTAGGCTTAAGCCTAGTTCCAGACTAAAATGCATGTTTGAGCTGTTTTAACTTTAAGTGACTTAACAGATTTTAAAATGTCAGTGCCATTGGTTTGTCTCAAAATGCACACCAGTAATGTTTTTTTTTTTTCCTAAGAAACTATTATAAAAGTTACTTTAAAGGCCCTAATTGAACTAAGGCCTAATCCTGGCTTAATCTAAGCCCTGTCTGTGAAACTGGGCTTCAGTGTCTTAAGGACTGTACCACAGGCGCAGCATTATGTTTATATTTTATTACTTTCGTAGTATTATCCATATCCATATTATTCTAATTTTTTTTCTCTAGCTCACTGGGTGGACTAGCAATGTAGTGGACACCGTGATGTATCATCACTTCAGCACTGTGAGTAATTCCCTCTGGCTTTACAACAATCATTACCATAATGCTTTGTGAGCACAATGAGCGCCAGCTGGCTTTTATTTATCTTTAAACGTAATGTTTTTTATTTATTATTCTGATAAATTAGGAGGAGCTGACTGACAACCAAGAACTGATTCAGACGTACCGCCTGCACATTGCCCAGGACATCAACCAGGACAACTTGGGCCTTTTCTGTGGCTCATACAATGCGTAAGTTACTTTTCATTAAAGAAATCGTCTGTATTGGTCATTACTTATGCTGACAAACCTTCTAAATTAGGTCTTTGGTTTAACAGGCGTCAAGACCTTGGAATCGAGAGGCCAGTTGTTGGTCTCAATGAGAACACAGTGAAAACGCTGATGTAAGCTTTTATGTCATTTGATTATTATATTTGATAACAGGTCTTTGTATTGGTGTATTTTTTTGTGTATGGTTTTTTTTTTTTTTTTGGTCTATTACTTTTCACCACTGTCTGTCCCTGTACAGATGCCCTGCTCTTCTGGTGGTTGGAGACACTTCCCCTGCTGTGGAGGCTGTGGTAAGTTTGGAAGTACAAGGTCATTTCCCCCTCTTTTGTTGCTGTATCCACTACTTGAAAACTAATTAATTATTTCATATTACAGGTTGAATGCAACTCTAGGTTAAATCCAACAAAGACCACCTTGCTGAAGGTAAGACGACATGGGTATTAACTCTTAATCTTCAAGTCCAGCATTTAACTCGTCTAACTTTTTGCTCTTCTGAAGTGGTACATTGTGAACTGCGTGTATTTCAAAGTGATATTTGTATCTTTTTATTTTTTCTAAAAAAATTTTACATTATTTGAATTCTCTCTCTCTCTATGACAGATGGCTGACTGTGGCGGTCTGCCTCAGGTTGTTCAGGTTAGTCCTGATCTTTTAATTCTTGATATTGAACACCATATTAAACACCTCCGCCCCTGCTGTTATCTTCACCAATGTTCAAGTATGCATTATGTAATATGAATGTGTAATCCTGTTTAAATGACCTCTAATCTCCCAACAGCCTGGAAAGTTGGCCGAAGCCTTCAAATACTTTGTACAAGGAATGGGATACAGTGAGTATTTTTATCCGTTTACCTCAGCGTTTGACATATTCTAACCTGTGAATGTATCTTCAGTGAAGTAAGTTTAATCTGCAGAGCAATCTGGGACAGCTTTCTCCGTAAACATGCATCTGTTTATCTGCGTTTCTGAGACACTGGCCTATTCTGATTATCAATTCAGCACAACACTATGACTAATGGCCGTCTTTTATTAAGACAAATCCGGCTCAGGGAGTCTGTCTTTGTTTCTTTTCTCCTTTCTTTTTACCGCACACAACTCACCATGACTTCCCACACACCCTGTGTTTTGATTAGTTTTCCTTCCAAACTACAGACGTGCACGAAATAGCAATGTCCTCTGAATGAGCCCTCCCCACATTTTGGTTGACAGGTTTCGGCGCACCAGTATAGTGCTTAATGTGCTGCCAGCGCTCTGTGTGAAAAAAATGTCACCCTCTCTCTGACCTCATACCTCCCCCTCCAAAGATACTTGCTGTTTCATTTCTGCACCGTTGTATAGTCTTTGTTGCAATCAGGCAGGAATCTACATGTCAGGAGTCGGACCAAAGCGGTGACTTTTCAAGAGCATAATACTTTGTAACATTCATCCCAGGCTTTTAAATTAAGCCATCAAAGCTCTAGAGAGTTTTTAAAGGGGGTCACACCATGTGGAATCTAATTGCTAAATCTTATCTTGAGATTGAAGGGAACGTTGTACTATAAAAACATACTTTGAACATTCAAACATGACTAAAAAGAGCTTCTTTTTTTCTTTTTTTTTGGGGGGGGGGGGCGACAGTCATAGAGGTATCTGGAGGTCACAGACAGTGAAAAGATGACTCGAAGTTAGAGTGAAATTGGATAATGGTTATGAATAACTTCATTGTGAATATCAGGGAAAATTATTAAATAATAAAAAGATACCAAAAAGATTCATAATTATTAAAGAGCATTACTGCGTCCCAATTTGCTTACTATCCATCCTAAATAGTATTTGAAATTAGAATTACGTAGTATGTCCCAAATCATAGTGTTGAAATGAATCCAAAGATACCCAGATAGTCTACTATTTACGGTTAGAATCCGAGGTGCTGCAGACCCGTGCACACTCTAATGGCTAATATTGCCCACAACAACCCATTGTGCATTAGATGAGACTTCGATAAGAACTACAAACACTAATAAACTACAAACATGGCGGATGTGCAAGACAACAGTTAAGTGGAGAGGGGTTTTACACGTGATTAACAATCAGTATCTAACCTGATGAAATTTTTTTATTCAAAGTCATCCACATTATATTTCACCTGCAACAACTTTGTGATCATTTATAGAAGTACAGTTGGTCATTAACTTTAAAATGCATCATTATACAAACACATGAGGAGAGTTCTCCGCATGAAAGACCAACGACTGGTAGATCAACGTGCTACTACATTTCTCTCTGATACGGTAGTAAATTAAATTAAATTGAATGTGGAGGATTTTAACTGTGACAAGATGATTGACAGGGCAGTTTAAACGTTGACAGGATGCATGTATTTAAGCGACAGAGTGCTCCGTTAAAGATCCGCAATTATGACGAAGTAGTATGTCCCAAAGCTTACCTACTCTTCTGCTACACACTCAAAAGTATTTACTTTTTCTTCACAAAAACAGTACATCTTTTAGGGGGTAGTATAAGTAGGCGAATTGGGACGCAGCACATGTTTTTTTGCCTTTTGGCGCCCTCTGTAGGCGAGGAGCCATAAATGAAGCATTAGGCTCAGCTCACGTCACTGCAGAAAAAGTACTTGTGATGCAGAAAGGCCACTGAAACACAGCTGTAAACACGTGCAAGGTTTACAGTGGTAATTAGTAGGGTTGAGGTTGTAACTTGCAAGGTTACAGTTTAAAACGCAGCCGTCCCCCCGAGCACAGTCAGTATCTGAACAGTATCTAGCCTGTATTCAAATTAACAGAAATATTCAAAAAACATTTCCATGGAATACTTCACACACTTTTCTTTTTATACCAAAACCTGTACAGATATCTTATTGTTCTTTCTATCTGTCTCCTTTCAACATTTGCAAACAGTTCCTCATGTTTTGCTCAGCCATCTGAGCACTGAATCAGGTACCCGGGTGTGATCCAACAGTTATTTTGACTGGTGTTTACATGCTTGCATGGTTCACCTCTGTGCTTGTGTTTAGATATATTTGCATGTAGATATTTGACATGGTATTATTTAGTGGTTGATCGATATGGGTTTTTCAATTTTGTGTTCTTTATATATATATAATTTTTTTTTGTTTTTTGTTTATTTTCCACATTTTTCAGAAGGTATGTGTTGGTTTTTAGTTTTGCTCGAATGTGTCTTTGCACTGTGTTTGGTAGATCTGCCTCTGTGTGAACATTTATACTCTATGTGGGCAGACACAAGACGAATATGTGATAATCTATTATTACATTCTCGGTTTGGTTTCCTCTTGCATGATGCTTGTTCTATCTGTTTACTTGCAATTAACCCCGATTATACTGAAGACTGAAATAATCACATTCTCATATCTCACTCCCACCTCACAGTACCAGCGGCTGGCATGACCCGTCTGTCTCGATCCCGGTCCTCCTCCTCCAGCATCACATCCATGGACGGCTCACGCAGCCGCAACCTGAACAGCCCTCTGGACGGGCCCAACTCTGGAGTCCTGGACAACCAAGCCAGGCCACAAACCATGGAGGTCTCCTGCTAAGGAATCTGCTGTCTTCTGTCCTTTCACCCCCAACCCCCTGTTATTTGTGTCCTAGATACCTACATGTTTCTAATGCCTTTAATAGTGAGGCAGGGGAGGCTCGAATGAAATGTATTATATACTGAAGGTATGCATAATGAATATATACAGATGTTACTATATGCTAGCCACATTTTCAGTCATAAAAGCAGATACAATTAAAGACTAATATATATTTACACATGAAGGGTCTTCCATCACGCTTTTTATTTTCATTTTTTTACCACGGTTTGCGTTACATGGAATTAATTCCACCTCTTTTATGAGCCACTCTCACGTAAAGGAAAACACATGCATTAAAAAAATGTTTTTTTTTTATGTTTTATGGTGTGACCCGTGACCTTTCCTGTGCTCTTATCGTGCTACACTGTGTGCTATTGTTTAATTTGTTATGTCTTACAAATGTGTTTTGTTGTTGAATACACTTTCCTGTTCATCATATGAATGTAATGAATGTTCAGTAACTGACTTTTGTTGTATTTATATTAAAAACTCTAATGGGTTATACTAAAAACCATCAACTATTAGAAAACAAACGCTTGTAATGACTCATCAGACAAAAGAAGTGGAATATCATTCTTTATTTACATTTTAATAATTGTTTCTTTTTATTTTATTAAAAGTTACATTAAGCCATCACCCTTTTAAATATTCAAAACAAAAGTAGCATGGACTTAGTTTGATATAAAATCATGTTTGTTTTTTGTACATTAATCCGTAACCATTTTTTAACATAATAATTCTTAATCAAAACATGAATTGATGTACACATGGAATGACAGCTGTATATGAGTATGAAATAGTGTCTGACAAAGTCACTGTCCACTGATTCTCAATTACTAAATAAAGTTAGATCATGGAAAATAACACTGGTCATGCATTTTTTCCTTAAGACATTTATAACTGCTATACTTTTGCTTTCAAAATAGTATATTATTTTCAGAACCACTCAAGAAACAACCTCTCAACGGTATGCCTATAGGAGACGGAAGATCAAGTCGCAAAGTTTCCAACCACACATGTACTTTATTTGCCCCTCACCTCAAGCAGCACTTCTCAGGTTGTGGTTACACTATTTTTACCAGTCTCTGTGCCAAGAAAATGTTAGAAGCTCAAAGTTATCACGTACACACAAAATTACCTTCATGAATGATATAGCATTTGCTTAACTTTCACCTATATGTACAATCTATATGTCTATATCCATTCTATGTAGAAGTCCTTAGTCCCTTACAACAGTTTTATTCTGACTGTTGTATGATTTATGGATTTGTAAAGTCTATTAGCACAGGAAATCTAATTTGCATGTTGGTTAGTTCACCACAACTACTCAACAGAGCACTGAAGTCAATTCACACGCACAACAGACAACAGAGGATAAAGGTCGCGTCAACACCGTTGTGCACTCATCTAGTGATGGTGGTGGGATGTCAGTTTTTATATCAAAATGAATCAATAATATATTGTGTAATTGAATTTTTGAGTAGTGTTGTTTCTTCAGTTGGGTTTTCAGGCTGGATTCTGTCATAAAATCAGAAAATGGTGATAAAATAACGATGGGGTGTCTAACAAGCAGACTGTGGCGTCGATCTGCTGTTCACAGACTGGAGGATCCTGTATTGACGTCTGATGGGTGTTTGAGTAAGAGCATGATTATGCAATGAATCTTCTACATATGAACAGCTTTTCTTTGTCAAACACCTAACTCAGTTAGTTTTTACTCCGTACTAAATATTTTATCAGTCATGTGTATAATTATCCCTCAACTGTGTCTCTTTTACTTAAGCTGCAGGAAATCACATGCACATGGCAGTGGCTTTATGCAACTTTCCACCCCACAGGTCTGATGTACATACTATATTTTTAGGAGACAGACTGAACATTATATCCGAGTAAGTAAAGATTATTTTTTGTAATAAATGCATGTAAGTCTGTGCTAAAACTAATTCAGAATGGTTTGGTTTCTGTTACAGAGATGATGACATGTTGAGGGTTAGTTCTACATCAACTGGCACAGCGTTTTTCATTCCTCACACGTACATTTCCAAAGTGTACAATCGGTCAGTCATGTTCAAACTATTTTAAAAAGCCTTCCTTATTTCCAAAACGAAAATACAAATGCTAAAAACATTTGAAACTTTCCGTTCTTATGGGAGACCCGGGTTTGAGTCTGGCCTGCATGGGTCCTCTCTCTCTCTCTCTCTCTCTCTCTCTCTCTCTCTCTCTCTCTCTCTCTCTCTCTCGCTCTCTCTCCCTCCCATGTAATGTTTCTCTACCATTGCGTCTATCATAAAATTAGTGAAAAAGAAAAACATAGACAAGGAGAGTGTTATGTGATGTCATCAGATCATAATTAGGGAGTGGATTTAATCATACCACGTGATCACTGCTGATTGAGTGATTTTTGAAAAAAGTGTGATTATGTCCATTATTAACTTTGCCAAATCTTGTTTATTTCAATAAAGCTGGCTGTTTGAAGGGATCACCAGGAGAAATGAGTGATTTTGAAAAAAGTGTGATTATTATGTCCATTATTAACTATGCCAAATCTTGTTTATTTCAATAAAGCTGGCTGTTTGAAGGGATCACCAGGAGAAATGCAGAACAACTTCTTATGCTGCCTCAAAACTACTCTGGATGTTTTCTAATTCGGGAAAGCCAGTCATGCCCTGGTTCGTGCTAAAAGCAATTTATTGCTTAATTGCCATCTTTTGTATTAATAAGTCTATTTCTTAACCTTAACAAATGCATTGCTGTTGGTTTTAGGTTCCTACTCACTCTCAATACGACAAGATAGAGACCATGTGCACAATGTAAAGCACTACAGAATCCATCAGCTCGACAACAACTGGTTCTATATCCACCATAACCGTACCTTCTCCACTCTCACCCAGCTGGTAGACTATTACTCACGTAAGCTCAAATAACAAAAACAACAACAACAACAACAAAATTGCTTGTTCTTCTGAGCTCCGTATTAGTCCTCCCACCCACAAAAGACAGTCCATTGCATTTCAATGATGATAAATACAACATTTGAATGTTAAAATAGATCAGAGAAAATACATCTAATCTATTTACAGGACCTTTTAATGGAACGTACTGTCAGCTGACTGAACCTTGCTTACTTCATGACTCGAACACAACTGTAGCGCATATACCTTCACCAATAGCATTCCAGAGGTCCAATCTTAACTGGAAAGATCTGTCTAGGTAGGTTTAGTTTTTATTTGGATCACATTTTCCAGGCTTTTCCTATAATTTAGGCTAGTATTATGCTGGCTTTGGTTGTTCTGTGTTATGCATAGAAATAACTCATATTTATCATCAGGTCGATGATTCAAAGGCAGTTAAAGGGGACGGATCACGAGAGTCTGGTTAGTGAAGGACTTCGAGAGTCTATGAATTCATATTTTTACATCACAGAGGAGTTGAGCTGTGAGGACTGAGTGACATCCAACAAAGAACAGATATTGATTTACATCATTTAGCCTTAATAATAGATGTTTGATGGGCATTTTGACCACGACGCTCTGTCCTGTACAAAAACATTCTTAAGCCTGATTAATGATCATGGTAACACTTTACAATATGGTCTCATTTGTTAACATTAGTTTATGTGTAAACTAACATCAATATCGAGGAATATTTTTTTTACAGCATCTATTAACCTTTGTAAACGTTTTATGTTCATGTTAGTTCACAGTGCATTACTCATGTTGACAGATACAACTTTTGATCTTAAAAATGTAGTAGTAAATGTTGAGATTAACATTAACTGATTAATAAATGCAGTAGAATTATTGTTCATTCTTAGTTCATGTTAGCTAATGTAGTTAACTAATGTTAACAAAAGAAACTTTATTGTATAATCTTTTGTTATTTATTTAATGATCATTTTGGTTTTAATTTAATTTAATTTTTTTTAAATGAATAGTTGTTATGTTATAGTCATATTTTGTGTCTGTTGTAGTGAACAGGATGCATTACCTTGGGAAATTGCTCAATATGACCCGACAGAAAGTAAAGTAACAATACAATCTATAAAGTAACTTACTTTAATACAGTTATGTGACATATGTGTCAGTATTTACATGGTCAAAATGCAACTCTGTATTTACCCACCTTTTAGAAATGTGAGAACTGACGTGTCTATATGTTTTGTAATCATGAGACTGACCAATTGTAATAATGCAGGCCTATATATAGACCCTTTAAATATGATATGAAGCAGATAAGGTTGCTGCATCTGTATTATGACATTGTCTGCACTTTCATTTATAGTTGACAACATATACTTAACTGATTTATTTAAAATACATTGTATTCATTTGATAGTAAAATACATCAGCAACTCTTTTTAGTCCATTAGTCCAAAGTGGTCACACATGCTAGTCCTGCCTCTCATGATGTATATCCTACTATTTTGATTTCTTTTTTAAATATGCAATTTAATATTACATTAGAAAATGTGATTTAATGTTGATGTAGAAATGCTGACTGATTATTTAGTACGCAGGTCAGTACATGTTGATTTTTGATTGAATCTTTTCCTGTATGACTGTTTTTTTTAGCAGTCTGCAACAGATATATTTGAAATTTTAAAATGGCTTTTTTATTTGTTTTACATATACAACTATAAATATATATTTAAGTTAAATACATTTTTAAATGTACGTTACATTTTACAGTTGTGTTTTTAATCAGAGTACAGAAGTACAATTTATTTATTTATTTATTTATTTCAATTTTTTAATTTTTTAATTAAAATTATCAAGATTTACAAACAAACATGGCTGCATAATTTCCTTTTCTTCAGAATAGAATACAAAGAAAATATAGCCAGAGGGAGCAGCTCTTAATACAAAAGAGAATATAAATGTCTTAGTACAAAAATATGGATGATTTGTAAGAAAGGAAACATTTAAATAAATAAACGGTAGAAATTATAACATAACATAATAACATAAGGGGTGAATTCGGTCTTTGTTCAGCCATTTATCTCAGTTGGGAAGTGTTTTAGGGTATCATATATTTTTTGTGCTTTAGGACTTTTCAGAGTTTTTAAGGATTTTATATACAGTTTAAATTCATTTAAAAAAACAACAAATTTGGGAGATGATTTCACAATTCTACACTTGTGAATGAAAAATTTAGCTAGACATACAATTGTATTAGTACACATCTCATCACCCTTGCTTTGCAGCATCAATCCAAATATAATGTCGTCTCTGGAGATAGAGGTTGGGAATGAAGGTATCTGCTGCTTAACCCATTTATTCATATCACACCAAAATATCTGTATCACATTCAGTCTATGATCACATTACATGAGAAAAACACATGGTCCGTAGTTTCTACATCATTTTCACAGAATGTACATGTGTTATCATCTATACCAAAGCAAAGTCTCAGTAATTCTTTAGAGAGGTAAATATTGTTCATTACTTAGAAGTGAGTTTCTTTCACTTTGGGGGGTATAGGGAGTGTTAGATCCATTGTTCTTAGTTTAGTAATTGAATCTTTATCAAATTTTTGTATGATGTTATTTTTATTTTGCCTTTCAGGGAAAAGGTATTCAGTAAAACAATTTCTGATAAAGTGGTTAGTGCATTTTCTTTCTGGAATAAAGATCCCTTGAATTGATAGTGGGGCCAATTGTGGTTGTATTGGATAATATGCCAAAGTGTTTCTTATTAGAAAGATAAATTGTTGGGGTAGCGCTCTATGTAATTTAGTGAAGTCTGATTTTAAGGGTTGGAAATTATGTTTGATGCAAAGTTCATAATTTAAGAAATGACCATTGGTATCCATTAAGTCGGCTATGGACCATATATTTCTCCCATACCAATCTTCAAAGAACAGAGATTTGTTGCGGTGCAGAACATATCTGTTGTTCCAGAGTACAGACGTGTGGGGTGAGAAGTTATGTACGTACAACATTTTCCAATACAAGAGTATTTGTCTGTGAAACTCTGATAATGATATAGGTAATTTGTCAACATTAAAGTACACTCTTAGAATAAATTCTAATCCTCCTATTTTCTTGAATAAGGTCATTGGAATACAATACCAAAAAGAGTTGTTGTGTTTGATCCAAGATTTTAACCAATTTATTTTTAAGGTTCCATGATTAAGGCAGTCAAAATCAATAACTTTTAGTCCTCCATCCTTTGTGTCTTTGACCATACTGCTTTTCTTCATATAATGTGGTCTATTTCTCCAAATGAAATTTAGGTTGATAGATTTAATCAATTTGTTTGAAATGGCATTGGAATATGCTGGGAGAAGTACAATTTAGCATAGTCTCAAATTGCGTTTGAGCTCAGTGCATGGCGCCCTCTACTGGTCGGTTAAAACATCGTCCACACGAGGGCGCTCAACACACACGAGTGAGCGTCGAAAGCTGAGCGATTTTAACTTCCTGTTTGGAGCAGTTCAGGAAGACGAAGTAATGGCGACGCTACTGGGGCCCGAGTCCCCTTGGATGGGAGGAAAGAAACGGACTCGAAACAGGAATATTCTCACCAGGATACGACAGAGTCAGGTCACTGGACGAGGCGTCAGCAGAGGGACGCAGGTAAACGGGAGAATTTGTGCTGCTGACACAGAAAAGCCGCTGTCAGGGATCCGCGTTTATGAGCTGAGCCGTCTATCAACCTGCTTTAAGTTAATCAACAAAATAAATCGGACCGGTGTGACATTTAAGTTTGATCTAAAGGTAGTTTAAATAATCTCTTAAAACTTGTGAAGTCAAATGGTCAGTGTAGTTTAAAAATAAACCACGGAAAGGGAGAATGACAACTGGCCGTTAACTAATTAACGTTAGGTTGCTCTTGGCTTTGACTGTCCGATGATAATTTGGGTTAAACGAGGCTTTAAATACAGTCCAAATACAATCCAATTAAAGACTCCGACATATGGACTCGTATTATTCTGGATGAGTAATATTATGAATTCTAATCATACACGAGCAATCTGTATCATTTAATGTTTATAACCGACCAGCTGTTTCAAGTAAACACGGGCTGTGTCTCACAACCTAAAGCTATACAGCCTTTGTGATCATTATAGGCTCCTTTGAACGTCATAAAGCCCCAAAATGTTGTCAGGGAGGGCAGTCAGCAATGCTAGAGTTTGACTGGCACATATTGTCATTTTATCTAGTGTTCAATTGTGCCATATCATTTTCGTATAGGTTGTCTTATCCATTTTTTTCCCACCACCAGCCTAAACAGTAAATTACACTAATTTTGTGTGGGTTATTGGTTCAGGCAGTGACATTTTGCTGGCTCAGGCCTGGAGTTTAAAGAGATTGAATTATGTAAGAGATGTCCTGTTGAGTTGGACATGACCTGAGCCTGGGAATTTAACTGAATTGAACCCCCACAGGTTTCACTTTCACTTCATACTCCCAGTATTTGATACTGATTAACACTGAAGAAGTTAGGACCTATTAGAATACTTTGTTGTTTAATGTTTCTTCTTTGACAGGTTGGTGAATGTTTCTAAAGGGCCTAGAAACAGAGTATAATATAGATGCGGTCTGTCTGTTATACTAAACCAACAAGATTGTTCTGTTGTACTTTTATTAGTATGCCTTTTTTGGCACCTATTAGGCTGCTTGTTCCTTTGAGTATTTGATTCTATTTTGAAAAAAATAAAAAGGTAGAGGACATATTACATACTTAGGCTATGTGGTATATGGTAGAATGCAGTTCATTGTATCAACATGACCTTAAAATACACTTTATAAGTATTATATGTAATAAAATACAAAAATTATACCCGCTAGGAATAGGCAACCTATAACTACTACTGATAGAATGAACATTAAGTCAGGTTCTTGCCTAAATGAATGTCACTTTTGTGTCAGGATGTAGAGTACTTTGGAGTCAAATGAACCTCTAAAGACTTCACAAAATTAAAGAATATAGCTTGTATGTAAGTGATTTGCATTTTATTGAAAGTTGTGTGTGTGTGTAAATGGTACTTTGCAGCCCTTCAAAGTAATGCACATGTAAATTCATTATTACCATTAGTTGTCAAACATGCAATGGACTTTTATTATTGGCCTTACAAGGCAGTGTATTTGAAAAATGGATGCTATTAATAACCAATTTTAGTAATTAAACATAAAGTAATTGTATTATCTATTGTTTCTATTTATCTATCTGGACTCTGCTGTTCTTTTAAATGTATAAAATAAAATAAATCTATCTTTATCAATAAAGTTTTCTTGCTTTGTGTGAACTGGCCTTGACACTGTCCTTTTGCTGAATTGCAAGAACTGGCATTTCCTTAAGCAAATGCAAATCTAGTTTCTGTTTATTCTTTGTTTCCAGCTCCCAGAAGTTCTTCTTCAGGAGAGAGATAAGAGGGCGAAATGGCACGGGATTCCAGTCTTACTCCAGGAGCTGTACGAGAGCAGCCACTTAAACAGTGACTTCACCCGCTCACATATTGTCCTGAAGGTGAGATCTCTTATTCCACTCACTCTTTTGAGTGTGGGATATTTTCTTATATCTTAACACTAGAACTGCCAAGGCAGTCATTCTGACTGGTTTTAAATTTTTACAGTGTAATAACTTTGTTCAAATAGAATCAATGTGGCTGTAGGACTCTGACTTTTCCTAAATATGTGTATATTTTATTCTGACACTGTTATTTTATTAAAATCACAAAACAGTTCTGACTATTTCTACCTAGAATGGCCATGGCGGTCATTTTGACTGCACGCATTATAGATATAAGTCCGCTACATTTCCCGCCATCAACACGCACATATTGTACAAGAAGTGCACAAATGAGCAAGTTTCGCGGAGGGACTTCATCACGCGACTGGCCAGCGAACTTCGCTCCGACCACATGAAATCAAAAGCCACACAACTGGTGGTGCGAGAGCCAGGACCCGGGCAGGAGCAGATGGAGAGAAGAAGGCAGTGCCAAGTAAGGAGGAACTGCAAAAAAAATAAAACCAAGGAGACCAAATTTCACAAATTAGTGTGTGGGAGCTACACACGAAAGGCAGTGTTTACCTGTGCGTAAGCGTCAGTGAATGATGCGGGGTGTTTGAGCCGTTCAAATGAGCCCACATCTTTATTATTACCTATCGTAACATTGTAGATCCATTTATTTTTCGATTTTGTATTGATTATTGAACTTATTTACAAACAGGACTGTACTAAACGGTATAAAGCTTAGACGTTTCCTAACTTTTTTGCATGTCTATTCACTTGGTGAGTGCGGTGAAAAAACATTTTTGACGCAAAACTTTCCTCACATTGCCACCTGTCGGGACAATCTTTCTTTTGTGCTTGTTTTAAGGGCGATGACGTTATAGCATGACGACAGGAATTAAAAGCGTCATTGGAAAACTTTCAAATGAAGAAAAAGGTTCAAATGTAGATATGACATGACGAAAATGACGTTCAGTTCGGCCATATGAACGTCAAACTATGAATGGTCAGAATGACCGCTATGGTCGCTCTAGTAGTTATGGAATTCCGGTAGTTCTAGTGTTAAATAGCTTTATAGCCATTTGATATCCTTATTTCAGAGCAGACCTCACTCTGAGTGTCTCTCTATGCTGAATTTGTCTCACATTGTGATGTTCTGATTGATACAGGAACTGTCATCCTTGCTGTCTATGGAGGCCATGTCTTTTGTGACCGAGGATAGGAAGACTGCGCAGGAATCCACCTTTCCCAACACATACACCTTTGACCTGTTTGGAGGTGTAGATGTGAGTTCAGACACTCTCATGTGTTCTCTGTATAATGAGGAATTGGCACCCTAACTGTGATCAATTATAAAGAGTGCTAATGAAAATGGATCACAGTGAAGTTATTGATTAGGCTAGTCTGTGTTGTGGCACAGAATAGCTTTGTCACTGCTGTAACTTTACAGTAAAGAAAAAAAATATATAAATATATATAAAACATTTTCTTTGGTGCTCAACACTGTTAAAATGTCTGTTTTGATAATGGGTGCGTTTTGATAATACATGAACATTCTTAACCCGAAATAGCATAAACTGATTGTCACAGCTAGATTTTTGCCCCTTACGCCGATTTTGTCCAGCATGTAAAGTAAACTCATTAACCTGATTTATGTCGGCTCATTAAGTGCGCATGTTTGATATGTGACAGGAACGCGTCCTTACTGTGCATTTTAAGCGCATCCAGACAGAGCGAGTGTTTTGCAATAAGGGGGGAGGAAATAAGTCGCAAACTCTGACTCTTTCTTGACCCAAAAAATTATAAAAGTGCTCTCATCTCGTGCAGCAGAATAAGTGGTAAACTACAGTATAGTCAAAATGCTGCATCTGTAACTGCATGCGAGGATAATATATGAGCCGTAAGTTTCCTGCTGACATTCCCGGAGTCCAGGGAATAACCTGATTTATTAATAAAGTCTTGTAAACGCAGTTTACTTGTGTTATTGGTTTGCATTTAAAGTTATCAGTGTACTGGTGTGCATGTAAACGTGCTCAATGTTAAAAGCTCTCTGTAACTTGCATTACAACCTTTTAAATATATTTTATATCATATTTAAAAATACGGTATTGTAAAATAAATATACATATATTATTTACACATTATCATGAGGAGAACATTGGCAGACTACCAGAATTTGTAGAGGCAGAATTCCGAAGATAGCTCTGAAGAATTGATTGTTTGTGCTTTACCTGTCAATACGATTGTAGTGTCTATTTGACAATATTCAGCGCGATTCAATTAAATCATATTCAATCATAAATTGAACTTTCATTTATCTGATTAATCAGTTAATTGAATAAATAGTTGACAGATCAATTTATTTATCAAATGGATTTTAGTTGCAGACCTAGATCAATTCAGAATGAATGATTGATTGTCTTTTTAGCTGCTGGTGGAACTTCTGATGAGACCCACTCTGACAACGCTACAAAAGCCCAAGAGTAAGTTAACTAGTAGAACATTTTATGCAGATTATTTATAAATAATTATATAACTAAATGTATTATTTAGGCTGTATAAAATAACAATTAAATTATAATAATTGTATCTGCGCTTAGTCTAGTAACCATCTAAACCATACTATGTCTTTCATCAACAAATAAAATTCTATCTTTTTTTTAAATTACTTTTTTAAACTGCTTGTAGTGAATGATGACTTGGTTAAGGACTGCCTTAGTGTGCTGTACAACTGCTGCATATGTGTAAGTATTCTGGCTTCGCTCTCATTTAGGAATTGAATTGAAGAGTGACTAATATCCACATGATGGATTCACGATGAGTATAAGTGCACTTATTTTCCTACAGACGGAAGGGGTCACAAAAAACCTGGCATCGAGGGATGATTTCGTCTTATTTCTCTTCACGTTGATGACAAATAAGAAGACCTTTTTGCAAACAGCTACATTAATTGAGGATATTCTTGGAGTTAAAAAGGTCAGTGCATTGAGAGGATTAAGAATATTTGTCTTATCTACAAAAACAAACGCCTAACAATTAAAAATGATAACCATGTGGAATACGTCACTAGTAATATCTGATGGTGTTTAATAATGGTTCATAACAGGAAATGATTCAGTTGGAGTGGATCCCGAACCTGTCAGGACTGGTCCAAAGCTTTGACCAGCAGCAGCTCGCTAACTTCTGTCGTATCCTCTCCGTCACCATATCTGAGCCTGATGTGGGGAACGATGACAAACACACACTCCTGGCTAAAAACGCACAGCAGAAACGCAATACCAGCCCCTCACGTGCCGAGGTCAACCAGGGTATGTGGACTACTAACTGGACTTTACTTAGAGCTGATGCCACAAAGAGCAGTAAAGTGGTGACTGAGAATAAGATCATTGCTAAAGGGAAATTTGTTATATGGTAAAATGACAGCTCTTTCCATTCAGTGTATATATAGAGGATTTCTGGCAGGAATAGATTTCTGGAGTAAGCGTTAATAGGGCACAAATTATAAAAACATCATGTAATATTTTCCAGTCACACTCCTGAACATCCCTGGGTTCATTGAGCGTCTCTGTAAGTTGGCCACACGGAAGGTGTCCGAGGCAACTGGAACATCAAACTTTCTGCAGGAACTGGAGGAGTGGTACACTTGGCTCGACAACACACTAGTACTGGATGCGCTCATGCAGATAGCAACTGATGAAGCTGAGCACAGCAGCACAGGTAGAACTGCTGTTTAACTTGTTCGGTTCTTATTCTAAATATTCATAACCTTCAGTGCTGATTTGGTGCTTAAGAAATACTTATTATTATCAATGCTAAACATTTGTGTGCATAATATTTTTGTGGAAACCATGATACCTTTTTGAAGAAAGTGCAATAGATTAACAATTTATTTGAAATAGAAATCTTTTGTTATATTATAAATGTCAGTACTGGTGATCAATTTAATGTTCTTGCTAAATAAATTAAGTTCTTTCCCAAAAATATTACTGATCACAAAATTTTTAACTTGTATATATTTTTTATTAATTTATTTTTTCTCACAGAATCATCTGATGAGAGTACGTTGGCCACCATCCCACTGAGGCATCGTTTGCCACAGTCCATGAAGATCGTTCATGAGATCATGTATAAGGTGGAGGTGCTGTACGTGTTGTGCGTCCTGCTCATGGGCCGACAGCGGAACCAGGCAAGAGCCGCTCATGTCTGTAAAGGATCTACATAGAACTAGGGGTGTAACGATACATCATTAATATAAAAATGCAACTATGTATCGTTGATGTAAACTATATGATTTGCGATATAGAGTTAGTTTTATCCAAGACTCCGCTTACTGTATTTATAAGGTATAATTCACCCAAAAATGTTCATTGTCGTCATGTACTCACCCTTATGTCGTTCAAAACCTCGCTTTAAACTTCCAAACACAAATGAAGATATTTTTTATGAAAACTAAGAGATTTCTGTCCCTCCATTTAAAGTCCATTCCTCTAAAAACTTAAAAGATACAAAAAATGTCATGAAGGCATCGTAAAAATAATCATCGAATGGTCTAATACAAATCCAAGTCTTCTGAAGAAGAGACACAACGGCTTTGTGTCACAACACCCATACAGGCTACTGAAGTAAACACAAACATGCTTCTGCGACACACAAAAACATCATGAGAGTGAGAAAATCCAGAATTAATTTTTTTTGGATGAACTAACCATTTACAGTTTGTGAAATAGTTATTTGAAACATGCTTTCTTGAGATTGGAACTGTAATTGATGGCCATGATCATCTGAAGCTAATTCGTGCTGGAACAGCACTCCTCAAAGTGAAAGCGCAAACATAATTTCATCCACATATTGCATTAAGTTTTAGTAGGATGATTATTTAAAGCATTTTAGATGGTTTATTCTTATATGTATTGTGCATTAATAGCGGGAGAGGCAGGACATAGCAAGTACCGGGAGAGTCTGTGTTTTAAAGAATCGTAACATGAGTGTATCGCTACACCCTTACATAGAACTGATTAAATCCTAATGTTGTAATTCCCATCCTTGTTTATCATATCTGTTAGGTGCATAAAATGTTGGCAGAGTTTCGTTTGATTCCTGGACTCAATAACCTTTTCGACAAGCTCATCTGGAGGAAATACACCACCTCTAATCACGTTGTTCATGGACAGAATGAAAACTGTGATTGCAGTCCGGTGAGCTTTGAGTGGATACATTGTAGATTTATCCCATTCACTCTAATCCATTTCCCATGATTCTCATTGATCATGTTATGCTATTGTTTATTGTGCAGGAGATTTCATTTAAAATCCAGTTTTTGAGGCTCCTGCAGAGCTTTAGTGACCACCATGAGTAAGTTGCAAGATTGTGAGCTTTGAGTGGCATGTCGCATACCTGTGGATTGACCGAAGAATGTATTCATCCATGTATTCTTTTGTTCTCAGAAATAAGTACTTACTTCTGAATGCTCAAGAGCTGAATGAGTTGAGTGCCATCTCCCTAAAGGCAAACATCCCTGAGGTGGAGGCACTAGTAAACACTGACAGGTATTGTTCAGATGTCAAATCTATATGCTAATATACTTTTCTTTTTTATACAGCATACACATATTACAATCTATCTTATCTGTGGTGTCTTTCAGGAGTTTAGTGTGTGACGGTAAAAAAGGGCTCCTCACACGGCTCCTCGCGGTTATGAAAAGAGAACCGCCAGACTCTTCCTTTAGGTGAGACTCTGGGTTCATAAAGATTTGGATAAATGTGTTTTGAAATGTCACGATAACATATTTTCTATTTAAAGGTTCTGGCAGGCAAGAGCTGTTGAGAGCTTCCTCAGAGGGGCCACATCATACGCAGACCAGATGTTTTTGCTGAAGAGAGGCTTGCTGGAGGTACAGATGTTTATACAAATGCCTGTGCCTCTCTTATTGGTCAAAAAGTTTTTACCCATAGAAGTGATTGAGTTGCTCAAATCTTGTCTTTTGATTGTAGCACATCCTCTTTTGCATCATCGACAGCGGCTGCAAGTCCAGAGATGTCCTGCAGAGCTACTTTGACCTGCTCGGAGAGCTTATGAAGTTCAACATTGATGCCTTCAAGAGATTCAACAAATACGTCAACACAGAGGAAAAGGTACGGGGAATAACAAAATGTGGAGAAATAAAAGCTGCTGTTTAACAACCTCTGCTTGTCTTTGGTTAAACAATGCCTTCCTCAGTTCCAGGTGTTCCTCACCCAGATCAACAGCTCTCTGGTGGACTCCAACATGCTTGTCCGCTGTATTGTCCTATCTCTTGATCGATTTGAGAGCCAGACAGAGGATGTAAAAGGTAAGTTCAGCCATTATACTCTTGGATTGTTAGCAATATTGCTAAAAGTATACACTACCGTTCAAAAGTTTGTGGTCTAAAATTTTTTTTGAAAGAAATTAATACTTTTTTTTAAGGAAGGGCACGTTAAATCTTGATTTTTATGTATTTGTAAACTTTAAAAAAAATGCTAGGTAGATCATCAAAGTTTAATGCAAGAAGTAAAAAGGTATGCTTGTATGCTAATTTTCTCAATTAATACGAAGGAAGATTTATGTTGTTTTTTAATGTATCTATAATGTATGTGTACCAAAATAACAGTACATAGCAACAGCAATATTTACCTCAATATTGTTTGTACTAAAAATATAAACACTATAAATTCCACACTATTTTTTAAGAATTTAACCGATTTAGACAGTTTCAAATTCACAGAAATCAATTAAACTTGCCAACTCTAGTACAGTTTTTACAACTGAAGAATAATCAGACATTAAAACATCTAGCTTCATATTCCCATACTCACTAGTCTAATTTTGGCAAATTACAGTCTTTAGGGAATTTAAATCAAATTAAAAGTGCTCTAAAATCATCACAAGTATTCAATATTTTGCGCTGCCCTAATTGTTAGTGAAAACGTGTTGATGTCTGAGAAAGATCTGATAGAAAGATGAAAAAAAAAATTCCAGGCAACTTGAGATTTGATAATCTGATCTTGTACATTTCTTCAGTCTGTTGAGAGCATTAGACATTCTTTTCTGAAACATATTTTGTCTGATCACTATTGACAAATTTCAGTGTCTATTTTAGTCTTTGTGTTTGTGCATCTGCAGTGGTTGAAGTGCTCTCTGAGTGCTGTCTGCTGTCCTACATGGCTCGAGTGGAGAACAGGCTGTCCTTCCTTTTTAGGCTGGTTAACATCATCAATGTGCAGACCCTCACACAGGCAAGACCGCAGTGCAGATCTCCTCTCCCTGTTTGTCTCATTTGAGTCCTCCATGATAATTATTCCTCTGTGGTTTTCTGGCTTCTCTTCCAGGAGAACGTGAGTTGTCTTAACACCAGCCTGGTGATTCTGATGCTGGCCCGGAGGAGAGGCAAGCTCCCGTTTTACCTGAACGCCCTGCGGGAGAAGGAATACACAGAGAAATATCCCGGCTGCCTCCTCAACAACTTCCACAACTTGCTGCGCTTTTGGCAGCACCACTACCTCAACAAGGATAAAGACAGCACCTGCCTAGAGAATGTGAGTCTATATATGATTTAGAGCTGCACAATATCACATCAAAAAGATATCACGTTTTGTGCAATTGTAAAACTGATTTCAGTAAATATGTTACCGATTTGAGAATGGAGCGTTTCATTTACACGTGTTGTTCACGATGCAGTGTTTTAGTCTCAGGGTAAAATGTAATTTTTCAGCTCTTTTTTTCCCTATGCAGATGAACTCCTTAACAAAATCACTCCAATTATTCTAGAATGATGAATTCTTTCAAAATAAAGCTATTCAAGTCATCTTATATATATAATATGCAGTATAATATGCAGTATAATATCATCTTATATATATAATATGTTTAATGCAGTTAAACAAAATATCACAATCTCAGTTTTTTCCAATATCGTGCTGCCCTAATATACAGTTTATTTTACTGCATGGTATCCTTCCTTTAGGAGAATATTTAACCATCAATGTTCTCTTCTCTTTCAGAGTTCCTGTATTCCCTTCAGTTACTGGAAGGAGACGGTTTCAGTACTGCTCGGAGAGGACAGGACTTCTCCCTGTGCCATTATCAGCTACATAGATGAGCCTTACATGGAGCTAGAGCGGGACCTTCTAGAGGATTGACTCTTCTGGGTGGGCTCGGGGAGGGACTTGCACGTTCAGATCCGATTGGGTTCAGAGAGCATATAGAACAGCCGCCCGTCTCATCCGACTGCATGCTACGGCTCAGAGAGCTGTCCATTCTCTACTTGGTGCCCATGTTCCACTTCATCTCCAGCTCCTGGGTGCAAAGGAACGTCCCGTGAAGGATCGCCCACCCTGTCATTCATTCACTGGGAACGCAGTACCTGGACAGCTCAAGCCAGAGCCGAAACTCTGACCTGAAACTGTCTCATTGTGTTTTGGTGCCGTTCTTTCAGTGAAATCGCATGGGGCCTTTTATACAGAATTACACAAAGAAGAAAATATTTAGGCTAAATGTCCGACTTGGATCAGAAATCTGTATCCTCGACTGGGGGCGGTCGATGATCTAGTGATCGAAGAACTGTACAGCCAGCCTTTAAGGAGATTTTCCTCTGTAATTTAGAATGAAAAAATGCAAAAGAGAAGTGTTGGATTGTTGAATGGTGGCTTGGATGTTACTTTGCCAAGCTTATTCTAACATTTAAGAGGTGAACGGCACTCGTGCTTAACTGATTGATGTCAAAATCTTTGTACAGTGTAGATGAATGAGAACTGAAATTGAATTTGGACAAGTCTTATTTATTTTCTCACATTTCTCTTGTAATTTTGCGCCCATGATGGGATCATAAATCTGTTTTCTTTTCATATTGTCCATTGCTTCTCTCCTTTCGTTAGGTTTTATCAAGCACATATGAAATAAGACATTTTCCGTTCTTGTATTTTAAATTTTTTGTATAAATGAGTTTTTAATAGGTGTATCATTCCTTTTGTTTTATTTTTTCACAATGAAACACTTCATATCTTGTGGGCACGGAAGGTGTTAAACTATGCAGGTTCACTCACTCCATGGTCGTAAATATCCAGCTAGCCTTGAGCTCCATGCTGCCATCTGTCGTTTGTTCCGTAGCAAACCACTAAATCACCATCTTCTAACTTTACAGGCCTCAGCCGTTGACAATCTGTTGCGCTCAAACATGCGGCTCTGGCTTGGTGGCCGGGAACCTGCGAAGGTGCTGCTTTTTGCTGGATGTGGTAGCTGAGCTAGACTAGAAGCGCTAAACTAGAAACTTCCGATCAACTACCTCGTTTCATTAGTGTTGTTTTCTAACCCACTCCTATAGTTTAAGCATGCTGTGGCTTTTATTCGGTTCACTTAATTTCACTGTGTATCCAAAAGTTCCCGTGTATAGACTAAATGTGTTTCACAACAATTGCTTTGCTTTTACCTGTGGATGATCGCAGGTTCTTGTGTGTTTTTTATTTTCTTTAAATCGCTTCCTTATACTGTCACGGTGATTTGCATTGGCAAAACACAATTTCATACCATTCATATAAATCGGGGTTTTGGTCACTTCCTTTGACACCAGGAATGTGTAGTTGTAATAATGGCAAATAATAGTGTGAATGTGCTTTTTCTGATTTGAATGATAACACAAATAACTACATAAACACAATGGATCTGAATGTCTCTTTTATCCACAGGCCTTGGTTCATGTCTCGCATGGGTTGGGTTTGGTTATTTAAATACTGACATTTTCTTGCGTAGCTCTGTCTGGATGAATTTAGTCATAAGTGATGACCATGTCAAGCCCAGTAAACTTAATGCTTTAAATAAACCTGAATTCAATATCCTGCCTCTTGACAGTTCAAGTTTGATGAATTTACTTTTTTTGTGCTTTTTATAATCAATGGTTGCAGTAATTTTGTAGGAATCTATAACAGTTTGAATATAAATCACGTTGCCTCTATTTTGTTTGTTTTTGTTTTAATATAACAGCACAATTCACAGACTGTCTTTGAAATTAAATGAAAAATGTACACAAAAACAATTTCAAATTGAAATATGTTTGTTTATAATATTACCATTCAAGCCTCTTTCTTTTTCATATAGCAATAGTCTCAATTTTTTTTGAAACCCAGTCTTGAAGGAAACCATTATATGCGCTATTGCTTTAATCTATTTTCATTACCTCTGATTTTAAAGGTGTGCTTAGTCTACTTTTTTAAATTAGAAGGAATACTTTTTAGTTAGGAATACTTAATAATTAAATAAAGTTATATTCTTAATTTTTTAAACAACTTACACAAAGACTGCAAGACGCCAGTTATACCGAACGCGGCGCTACTCGCTTTACCGCATACAATCGTGGAATGAATAAATTTGTTGCTGACTCTAGTTAGCGCATTTCTAGTGGTACCAGTAACTGAAAATTTGTTCCACGACCACTGCCATGCCATATTGACCAGAGCAACAGAAAGTCTGCGAGCATCTGTAAGTTATTATTTACACATTTGTTTACATTGTGGTATAGGCTAGTCATACACTTATCCTTTTTTTTTTTTTTTTGCAAAATACCTTGAACACCCTGAAGAGGGTTTTGGCTGTTTTATCTTTTTTCTTAGTTAAGTCAGAGTTGTGTCATGAAATTGCAGTATAAATGAGGACAACATGAAATACACATTTCTATGGTCTACATAAACACACTTCTTTATCTTGCTCATAGCTTCTGGCACACAAAACTGTTGCAGTGGGCTGTGTACGAGAGGGGCTTCCTCTTCACTCTTCAAGCTGAAATGGGTATAAACAAAGATGATTATTCTAAATGTATTCAGTACAGCCTTAATGGGGAAAAAAGTAGCCAATATGTTGAAATGCAATATTCAAGACTTGAGCCACATGCCTTAGGACTAGCCTTGCTACCCGAGTCTCTGGTTCGGGTACGTAGTTTATTCACTTGAGACTCTGCAATCTCGGCTCTTTCCTCAGCATCATCCAGCTCATGTTGGATCTTCTTGTACTTGGTCAAGTTGGTATTAGCTTGCTCCTCCTACAATACAATCAGCAGGAACCATCAGTGATGTTGTTTTAAGTATGAGATGTAGAGATTAAGGTTTATTTGTAGACTCACCGCCTCCTCTGCTTGTCTCTTGTAGGTCTTAACTTTGGCCTGCAGCTTGTCTATGAGTTCCTGAAGGCGAGCCATGTTCTTCCTGTCCTCCTCAGTCTGTAGAAAACAGCAGGTGGTGCCACAGGCTTTATTCTTTCAGGCTCAGTGCAACTCAAGCTATTGTACTAACTAAATTTAATTTGTGAATCTGTCTCATGGAGTTTGTACCTGATAGGTGAGCTCCTTGATCCTTCGCTCATATTTGCGGACTCCCTTCTGGAATTCATTGCTTTTTTTCTGCTCAGATTCCAGTTCATTCTCTAGATCTCTCGCCTTGAGGAAAGTTTGTTTTATATTTGTATAAGGTGCAGGACATCATCGATGTTTGAATTATTTTATAGATGGCAAAAGTCATCATGCATACCTTGCTTTCCAGTTTCTGAATTTGCTTCTTGCCTCCTTTAAGAGCGATCTGCTCAGCCTCATCCAGGCGCATCTGCAGATCTTTGATGGTCTGCTCCATGTTCTTCTTCATACGTTCCAGGTGAGCGCTGGTGTCCTGCTCTTTCTTGAGCTCTTCCGCCATCATGGCAGCCTGCTCGTTGGAAGCTTCATATTAAATTTCCTGTACAATACCCAACACAATGTTTTACCAAAAAAACCCTCTCTATGCAAGCTCCTCACATCAGTGATGGCCTTTTTGGCTTTCTCTTCTGCATTTCGGCCCTCCTGCACAGCATCATCCATCTCGCTAGACAATGTGGAGAGATCACTCTCCAACTTTTTCTTTTGATTGAGCAGTGATGTGTTCTGGGGAGGCAGAAAGAATTAAATGCCTAGGTATTATTTGTTGTGACTGCTAGGAAGAGTTGCCTTCTGCAAACCTTGATGGAACATCTGGCCATTACCTGGGCATGCAGTAGGTTGACTCTCTCTGTGGTTTCCAGGAGCTCAAACTCTGCCAGTTTGCGAGCACGATCGTTCTGATCCAGCTGGCTTCTCAGTTCTTCCACCTCAGATGTCAGGAGGTTGTTCCTGCGTTCAGTAATGGCACCCTGTTCCTTCAGTTCTTCATTTTGGTGAATAGTCTCATCCAGCTCAATCTGAAGGTCCTTTTCATTTATAAAATGGATTTTATGTTGTTTAGGCTTGAGTAGGTGACTATTTGTTTAGATCATTTTGCATGAATATCATGATATTAAAATAATCCAAAACTGTTTTTATTTCCCACATTAATGATGCAATAGTTTAAACATATTTGTTTTAACAGAAGCAACATTTGGATTTACCTTAATCTGTGTCTGCAGGTTACGGACCATTTTTTGGGATTCAGTGGCCAAGCGATTTGCATGGTTAAGCTGAACCTCCATTTCATTCAGGTCACCCTCCATCTTCTTCTTCACCCTGATGGCTTCATTACGGGATCTTGCTTCTGCATCCAGGGTGGCTTGCATGGACTCTATGGCACGCTGATGGTTACGCCTAGTAAAGGTGAGTAAATAAGTTAGGAAGCCTTGTGGTTTAAACAATAATGGTCGTATAATGGAATGGAGTAATGGAAAATAATGGTTAAATAATCTGTCTTCCTCACTAGTTCTCACCGAAGATTGTCGATTTCCTCATCTTTCTCAGCTAGCTTCCTGTCAATGTCTGCTTTGGTCAGGTTGAACTCCAGCTGTATACGCAGAGTCTTACTCTCTTCATGCTCCAGAGTGCCCTGATACAAAAATAAGGTAAGAGAATTTAAGAAAATGAGAGTCCAAGTACCTTCAAGTCCGTTTTGGTGTGATATCATTCTATATAGGCCAGTTTTAAAAACTTCAGCTGCACCTGTCAAGTTATAAATTTTTTATTTATTTAAGTTTTTACTTGAATCAAACTGTCTTCTCTCTTTAATGCATACATACACTATGTAACCTTACCTAAAAAAAAGACCCACTAAACAATTTTTTTCTTTCTGTTCAAGTAAATGCTCAAGTAAACAAGTTCTTTCTTTCTGTAAATCCTTAGCAAACTGGAAATTACCTTTCTACCTTTGTTTAAAATGGAAATTACCTCACTACCGTTGTTTAAAATGTCACATTAATAATCATTGAAAATATTTACATTGATGGCTTAATGTTTGTTATTCACAATTTTAAGCAAATACTTAAATATATTTTTGGCGTAACATAAAAATTGACTCAGGATTTCATTTCTGGTTCTCAGTTACAAAAATTTCAGACACAAAAAAACAGTACTTCAGCTTCCTCCAGTGCTGCTTGAATTTCAGTCTTCTCCATGTCCAAGCCCTTCTTGATCTTCTCAAGCTCATGAATGGTCTTGCCACCCTGGCTTATTTGGTCATTCAGGTCAGAAATCTCTTCTGTTAGAAACATGATGGTATTGATAAAAACACATTTTGTGACTGACAATGTATGTTAATTTGACGTCATCGTTTTTTCTCCATTCATAATCCTTGAAGTTCAAAACATACCCTGTAGATTTTTATTCTCCCGTTTGATGCTCTCCAGATGGTCCAGAGCCTCTTCATAAGAGTTCTTGAGTTTAAACAGCTCGGTGCTCAGATTACGAGACTCTTTCTGTGAAGATTCCAGCTCAGACTGGCACTCCTCGTACTTCTGCCTCCATTCGGCCAGAATCTTGTCAAATTGCCTCTGCTTCTTGTCCAGGGCAGCAGCGGCTGCATTAGAGCGCTCCAGATCTACTACAAGATCCTCAATCTCTGACTGAAGCCGATGTTTGGTCTTTTCTAGAGAGGAGCACTTGGCGTTTGTTGCCTCGACTTGTTCCTCAGCCTCTTGAAGGCGGGTGGCCAACTTCTTCCTGTCAAGTTTAGGAATATAATAATTCAGTTTTAGATTGAAT